CAACAATATCCTTTTGAGTAGTCTAGTTTCTGACTGTTGATCCCCCTTTATTACATACAGACTCTCTGTTTTACTAATTTCTGCTCTTTATTATTGTCATCCTACTTTTCTTTGCATTTCATGTGTAACTCCTTTTCTAATTCCTTAAGATGGAAGCTTAGTTCATTGATATACCCCCAAGCCTTTTTTCTTTTCTAGTATATATTTAATGTGATTTCCCCCTAAGCCTGGCTTTAACTGTATTCACAAAGTATTGTTATGTAGTATTTTTATTATTATTCACTTCAAAATACCTTAATTTCTTCATTCACCGCATATTATTTAAAATTATATTAATTCCCAAATATATGGGGCTTTTCTGATTATCTTTTTGTTCTTGATTTCTAGCTTAATTTGTGTAATGATCAGAGATGATATTCTGAATCATCTCAAATCTTTGTCATTAGTTATTGAGACTCACTTTGTGGCCCAGCAGATTTACAGTCAGCTTTATAAATGTTCCATGTATAATTGAAAAGAGTGTCTATTCTGAGTTCAGTGCATTCTTACAAGTGTGTCAGGGAGGTCAAGTTTATTAATCATGTGTTGTTCAAATCTTTGGCAACTTTACTAATTTTTAAATGATTGTTTTCTGTTAAAGAGAGTGATGTGTTATATATCACATCGTGGCTGTCAATTTCTCCATTTCTCCTTTTACTTCTGCTGGTTTTTGCTTTTTATATTTTGAGACAATGTAATTAAGTGATATAAACATAGAATTATATCTTTCTGGTGAATTGAGCCTTTTGTCAACTTTTTTAATGACTCAACAATTTTTGCTTTGATGTCTGCTTTGTCAGATACTGTAACTAAATCAGCTTTCTTTTGGTTAGTTTTGCGTGGTATATCTTTTTTCATCATTGTATTTCAACTTTTCTATATCCTTATATTTTAAAGGAGCATATCATTGTGTTGTTTTCCAGTCTGAAAGTCTTTGCCTTTTACCTGGAGCATTTAGTACATTTATCATTTAATGTAATTTCTGGTACATTTGGGTTTAAATCTACTCATCTTTCTATTTACTTTCTTGTCCCATTTGTTTTTTGTCCCTTTTTATCTTCGTTTTTGCCTTCTTTTGATTGATTATTTTTTATTGACTTGTTACGTACACATTCCTTTACTAGGATGATTACAACATGTATCCTTGACTTATCTCTCCCATACTCTGTGTCTTTGTGGGTTTGTGTATTTTTAGAAACCTCTTTACTATCAAGAGGGGAATGGTTAAATAAATTACAGTATATCCAATCAATAATGGGGAATATCTGTTTTTAGCATAGTTATTGATAGATATTAGTTTAGGGCTGTCATTTTGATGTCTTTTTTTGTGTATTGTCGACAGTTTCTTTGTTCCACTTAATTTTCTGTACTGAGTCATTTTTCTTTATGTGTTTTCTTTTCATCTTTTTCATTGTTGATTTTGTGTTTGCTGAGTCTTTATATTTTTCTTGTTTTTTTATTTTGACTTGTAGGACTGTTAGTTTCCTTTGTGGTTACCTTAATATTTACCCCTATTTTTCTAAGTTTAAACCAGTCTATTATTTCTTTATATTGCCTTGACTTCCTCTCCACTTGAAAAATCTATAGCTACATTATTTAGTCCCTCTTTTTTGTTTTAATGTTGCCATCTTTTACATATTTACATCTCTGTTTCCTTATTTTCAGTGTTTTAGCTTTGATTTATTTTTGTGACTTCCCTATCTGGGTTAATATCTGGTTGCTCTGTCCTGTGTTCTAGTCTTGGGTTGTTATCTGATGTTATTGATTTTCTAGCTGGAGGACTCCCTTTAGTATTTCTTGTAATTTTGGTTTGGTTTTTGCAAATTCTCTAAACTTCTTTTTATCTGGAAATGCCCTAATTTTGCCATCATATTTGAGAGACAGTTTTGCTGGATATGTAATTCTTGGCTGGCAATTTTTTTCCTTCAAGGCTTTATATATGTCATCCCATTGGCTTCTTGCCTGCATGGTTTCTGCTGAGTAGTCCGAGCTTAGTCTTACTGACTCCTTTGTAGATGACTTTTCGTTTATCCCTAGCCACTCTTAAAATTCTCTTTATCTTTGGTTTTGGCAAGTTTGATATTAATATGTCTTGGTGAGTTTCTTTTGGGATCCTACCTTATGTGGGGTTTGATGAGCATCTTGGATAGATATCTTCTCTTCCTTCACGATACCAGGGAAGTTTTCTGCCAACAAATCTTCAACAATTCTCTCTGTATTTTCTGTTATCAGCCCCGTTCTGGTACCCCAATCACTTGTAGTTTATTCCTCTTGTTAGAATCCCATGTAATTCTTAGGGTTTCTTCATTTTTTTTAATCCTTTTATCCGATTTTTCCTCAAATAAGTTGGTGTCAAGTGCTTTATCTTTAACCTCACTAATTCTGACTTCCATTGCCTCAATTCTGCTCCTGTGACTTTCTATTGAGTTGTCTAATTCTGAAATTTTATTGTTAATCTTCTGGATTTCTGATTGCTGTCTCTCTATGGATTCTTGCAGCCTGTTAAATTTGTCGTTACGCTCTTCTCTAATCTTCTTAAGTTCCTCTGTGGCTACGTCTGCATTTTCTCTCATCTCCTTCTGATCTCTTGAAGAGTTCTGTATATTAATCTTTTGTATTCTGCCTCTGGTAATTCCAAGAAATTCTCTTCCTCCAGAAAATTTGTTGATTCTTTATTTTGGGAGCTTGCTGAAGCCATTGTGGTCTATGGTCTGCCTCTTTATGTGGTTTGATAGTGACTGTTGTCTTTGAGCCATCAATAAGTTATTATGTTTATTTTATGCTTGCTTACTGTGTCCTAGCTTCTTATTTTGTTTTGCTTTGATATGCCCAAATAGGTTGCTTGTGTGAGCTAGTCCGATCACTGGTGCCCCTAAAGCACCAAGTGGTCAGGCCTGCCGCTAAGTATGTGAGCCCAGGAGTCTGCCCACTCCTCCTGTATGCATTCAGCTCAGGTGTCCAGGTAGTCGGCCACCAAGTGTGTTGTGCAGGCTCTCACCTACAGTCCTAGACAGGCATGGGTGATTGGTGTAGGCACAGGCATCTGTCTGCAGCAGGGGGTCATACGCTGAACAAGGCAGGAGGCCAACGGTCACCCCCAAGTGTCTGGGAGGAAAGTGTGTCCCTGTTCCCTAGGGCGCTTAGGTGGATGGGTTTTGCAGCTGGACTATGAGCACCTTGTGCTTTTGGCTGTAGTGACTGGGGGGCACCACTTATTGGGCCCCAATCGCAGGTGGCTAGGTGGTGTGCGTGGAGCCACCAGTCCTCAGACCCCTGATGTGAATAGGTGAAGACCCTGCTTAATAGGTAGAGCAGTGTCAAATGTCAGGAACCTGCCACTTCACAGCTGAAACAGTTCAAGTTAGACTTCAGGTTGTTGTACTGTGGTGTTGAGGACCTGTGCTGTTGAAATGGGCCCATACAAGTCTCTGCAGGGGGAAAGGCACTCGACGTCCGTGTGCCTGGGTAAAGGAAGTGTGCCTACCCTGAGTTCCTGGCTTAGGGGAGCCGGCATATTTTTTTTCCCGTTTGTTAATTGTGTTCACTCTCCAACGCTGGGAGAGTGGCTCGGGGCGCTTGACGGTTCCTATTTCTGGCCCAGGGGACTTGGCAGTTGCCTAAGCCATCCTGAACCCAGTGCAGAGCAGGGAGTGGTGAGGTAAATGGGAGAGAGGTTTTTCCCAAAGGGTGGTGTTTTTGATCTGCACAGTAGGCCAGATGCAAGTACTTATCTTTCGCTGATTGAGGGCTGCTTCTCACTGGTTTTGGATGGCTGAGTAGACTCTCTGCTGCTGGGTCTCTCCCAGTGTGGAAAATGCCTCCCTTGCGCCGCTGTTTGCCTGTCTCACCCGTGCACCAGGAGCTGATCCGGCCTAAAGGGCTCAGGCTCTCGCCAGGTCAGGTCTGGCAACTCCTCGCTGCTTCCGAACCGTCTCTCCCTCCCCCTGCCACTCAGTCCAATTCCTCAGCTTTGCCTTAGATGTTCAGGGCTCCTAGGTTGTCATATATAATTGATTCAACTGCTAATAACAGTTGCTCCCTGTTTGGTAGTGGTGGTGGAAACTAAAGGGATGTGGGACAGGGAGGAGGGGAGATTTCTCACTATACTTTATATGTATTTTAAACTTTTAGAACCATGTGCATGTATTACCCAATCAAAAATCAAATTAGAAAATAGTAATAAAACCTTTTCGCTATTTTTTTTTAATATTGGAGATTTGAGGGAGGATAGTTTAATACCTTTGCTTAATGTACCATCTTTAACTAGAAATTTTTAAATTCAGATTAAATCATAAAGATTGTCTTTTTAGTCAAATGTAATACAGGATGTATTTATATTCATCTGTATTGTGTGCTGTTTTCTGAATGTCGTAAGAATACATATTGACTCTACTTTCTATCCTAATAAGTATGTATTAATCGTGAAAACCCAGGTTGCTTCTTCGTTTGAGAAAAGTTGTAATTTTATCCTTCTGAAGGCAGTTTTTGGTCTTTTCTATCAAAAAATTAAGTGTAGAGAATATTATATATGTAAACATTTAGTTGATTGAGATTGGAATGGGAAAGCAACTTTTCTTTGTTACCATTGGGTCAGAGCCTATTAAGTGCCCACTGTAAGAAAGCTAACCTTAGGGACTGAGTGATGTTTTATTCTTTTGCTTTATTTATTGTTATAGGTTAATCTTGAGTTTAAGAAGGCTATCTATGATGTAATAAAGGGATGATGTATTTTTTAACATGGAATTTGTTTTCTTCTAACACAGTCTAAGTTTCCTGAGACAATATGCATTACAGGTTTTTAGTGCATTCAGCTTGATGCCTTAAGAAAAGAAATTAAATCATCAAGTACCTTAACTACACAACAACCTAGCTTCTTTATTTTTTGTTTTTTTTAAAGGGTGTGAATTCAAGGAACTATAAAGGAAAAGAGATGTTGACCCTTTTTTCTTCTAATTTCATAGGTTTGAGAAATTTCTGTGGTTCATTAGCTCAGAGAACTATCTAATTATAGGTGGACGAGATCAGCAACAGAATGAAATAATTGTGAAAAGATACTTGACAGCAGGTAGGTAAGATTAAAGTTCTGAAGAATTTTTTCCTAAATGTTAGATCAGTTATCTCAACATTTGGGATTGATTTTCATCTTAAACGCTTTTGGATAACAGATTTAATTGGTAGAAAGAGAGTTTGGTGCTTGGTGGTTTATAGTTCATTGATTATCTGCTTTGACACTTAATTCTCATTTTAAGTATTATTCTTAAAATAATAATGCTGAGCTATTCTGCACTGTTAGACTTTTGATTCTCTACTACATTAACAGAATAGCTCTCAGTCCTCCAAAGTCATTGCACATCAAGATTTTAAAATCTTAATTTTTAGTGCTGAAGTTTGAAACTTTTTTTTCAGATTTAGACACAGACTTATTGTTTATTATTTGTCTTTATTTAAGGGGACATTTATGTACATGCTGATCTTCATGGTGCAACTAGCTGTGTAATTAAGAACCCAACAGGTAATATATTTCTATTTTTTAAAACTTCATTTCGTTAAAAATATTTGTAGTCTAACTGTAAGATAATTATTAATAGAGATTAAGAAGGTATTTTAGTCATCTAGTGCTGCTATAACAGAAAATACCACAAGTGGATGGCTTTAACAAAGAGAAATTTATTTTCTCACGGTCTAGTAGGCTACAAGTCCAAATTCAGGGCATCAGCTCCAGGAGAAGGCTTTCTCTCTCTGTCGGAAGGAGGGTCCTTGTGATGCTTCAGTCTTCCCTTGGTCTGGGAGCATTTCAGCGCAGGAACCTCAGGTCCAAAGGACGCGCTCTGCTCCCAGTACTGCTTTCTTGCTGGTATGAGGTTCCCACGTGTCTCTGCTCGCTTCTCTCTTTTACATCTCAAAAGAGATTGGCTTAAGACACTATCTAATCTTATATACCTTATCAGCGTAACTGCCGCTAATCCATTTTAATAGATCGTAGTGATTAAATTTACAACACATAAGGAAATCACATCAGATTACAAAATGTTACACAATTATACAGTACTGGAAATCATGACCCAGCCAAGGTGACAGATTTTTTTTTTTATTGTACTTCACGTGAAGGCTTACAGAACAAATAGTTTCTCATGAAACAGAAGTACACATGTTATTTTATGACATTGGTTAACAACCCCACAACATATCAACCCTCTAACTTCTCAACCTGTTTTTTTTTTGGTGATAATACACATA